AGGGCTTCTGTTCACTGACTTCCTGTGGAAGGGGAGTCACATCCAAACTGCACAGCGCACCAAGGGTGACAGTCTGAGCAGGGCTTCGACAGAAACACGCAGAAACAAGAGGCCCGTCGAGGATGATGAGCAGTGGTGGTCCTTGACAGGGCTGCCGGGCCACGTGCTCACAGTCCGAGTGCGTGGCTGTGTGGAGGTGGGCGGGTTCCACGCGCACTGCATCCTGGGAAGCATGGCCCCGGAGCCCTGTTCGGAGCTGAGCTGCAGTGAGCTGCAGTCACACTGCTGATCCCCAGCAAACTCGGGTCAGAGTCCTGGGTCCCGGGGCCCACAGCTGCTGTCCAGGGCCTGTCACCCAGACTCTGGAGGGATCAAAGTGGGGCCCAGTCAGAACCCCCACTCTGCACCTGAGGCTGGGGGTCCCTGCCACAGGGCGCGGGCCAGGGTCCCAGCAGCTTGTGCGTGGTGGGCTGGCCAGTGCTCTACCAGGACGGAGTCTGGCTCCCTTGGGCTGCAGGGGCTAAAATGGCAGGTGGCATGAGTGGTTGTGAGGTGCCTCTCAGCCCACTCCCCCCCTCCACACTTGCTCCTGCTGCCCCCAGGGAGTCCCTGCCTCCTTGTGTCTGGCTCAGGCAGCCAGAGTTACAGGGGGCAGTGGACAGACACTTCTCTGGACCACTGGAGATGGACCTCTGAGAGGAGTACTGCCCCTCCCAAGGCCTCCCTGCTCTGCTTGCAGATGACACCCTCTCTCTGTGCCTCACCTGGCCTTCCTGGGCACACTCTGTGGCCTCTTCCGTCCTCCTGTGGGATCAGGGTTCCTTCCTGTGACCTCAGTGGGCCATCATCACCTCATGAAAGGCCTGGCCTCCAGACACAGCCCCACTGCACAGAGAGCTTCAGCCTGTGAACTTGGGCACACGCTGTGGTCCACAGCCCTGGGACTGCTCCCTGCTGGTGTGCCCCTGCACTTCTGTAGCCCTGGTAGCAGGTGCAAAAAAGTAGAGTTCCTGGGTGCTCTTCCCTGTCCCTGACTGCTCAAGTGACCACAGCACAGTGACCAAACCCAGAGCACCACGCTGCACCCTGTTCACGGCAGCAGGGACTTCCCCTGCAGCCGACACCAGAGTGAAGGTTGCCCAGCCCCTACCATTGGCCCCTGGTTCTCCCAGGACCCAGCCGTCCTGTTGTACTGCAGACTGGTGTCTCGCACAGCTCTGGAGGGCAGCCCCAGGTGGAGACTGGCAGACTCCGTGTCTGGCCAGCCCCATTGCATTCTGGTTCACACACAGTGAGGGGCCAAGAGCCCTGGCGCCTGCACATGAGGCCCCGTCCACCAGGGCTCCACCCTCCATCACCTAGCCCCGTTGGACCATCTGCTCCCTTCCCGTGGTTTTGTGCTTTGGAAGGCGGTGCACCCAGGGTCAGCGTGGCCTGGGGTCCTCCATACCCTGGGTGCATGCCAAGCATCTACTGTGTGGGAGACCCATGCACCCTGCCTGCACGCGGGCTGTGGCAGATGGGGCTCAAGCCTTGGAGAGTGGTGGGTGAGCACGGGTCGAGGCACATGCCCTGGGGTGTAGGTGCAGGGTCACCGGCCAGCGCCTGCACCACTTTGTGACAGCCACCATCTTGGTTTCCAGGGTGGCAGCACCTGTCCCACGGGCCTCCTGCTCTCCCCTCCAGCATCTCTGCAGGGGGCCACTCGCCATTCGTAGTCCTCTTTGATCACATGTATGTACAAGTCTTGCCCATTTAAGGAAAATATTTTTGTTAGTTTTACGTGGACACAATACTTTTACTTTATTTTTTATTTGTATGCGATGCTGAGGATGGAACTCAGCGCCTCACACATGCCAGGCAAGTGCTCTACCTCTGAGCCCCAGCCCTTGCCCATGTTTTAACTGACTTTTTTTTTTGTCTTCTTACAGTTGAGTTTTAGAGTTTCCTTTTTGACATCAACCCCTTGTTGAACATGGAATTTGCAGTACTTTCTACTAATAAATCTGTGGCTTCTTTTCATCCACCTCACAGTTTTCCAAAGGATAAAGTCTGTGGTTTTGAAGAAGTCTTTTTTGTTGATTTTTTTAAATGGATCGTGCCTGGGCGTAGCCTCGTGGTCTGCTCTGCCTGACCCTAGGTGTCCCCCTAAAGGTCTTGTGTCCTGTGCTCTGACATGTGCTGCGGTTCACTTTGGGCTGGAGTTGTGTCACCAGTATCCTGAGCGTCCGCGCTGCGAGGGCTGGCCACCGTGGTCTGCCCCTCCCTGCTGCCCGCCTGGGCTCCACCCGCCCTGGGTTAGTGGGCTTCCACTGCTGTCCTCTCAAGGTGGCTTTTGACTATTCCAGTGTCTTTTGCTCAGCTTTCCTCTCCTACCTGGATCCAGCTGGTCAGCTGTGACACGTTCGGGCCCAGCGGTTGGCTGGGGACAGACAGAGTCACAGTGCCGAGCCCCCCTTGGGCACCTGCCGTTACCCAGCACTTTGGGGCATTGTGCATCTGATCTTGGTTCCCACTACTTACCGCTAACATGTGAGAAGAGCCCCTAGTGGTCTCGGGACTGTCCGGGTGCTGTGGCTCGCTTACCATGACGAAGCTGTTTGGTAGCCGCTGGCTTCCGAGGAATTGCTCGCGTCATCTCGGGGCCACGCAGCGTCGGGCGGTGCCAGCTGCTGCCTGCGGTGGCCCTCTCTCCCTGAGAGCAGCTGTGTGGCTGCTGCGTGGTTTCCTCTCTGGCTGTGCTGGCTGGAGGTGGCAGCTGGGCCTCCTCTCTGGAGTGGAGACGGCGCCATGAACCCGAGCAGCTGCCTGGCCTGCCTCGCGTGGGCCTGGGGTGTGCTCTCGGCTTAGCGCCTGCTGCTCCTAGAGGCCGCCTCTTGTCCAGGCCGAGGATGGGTGCCAGGGACCCTGCTTCCCGGCACGGCTGACCTGACACAGTCTAGCCTGGTGGGTTGGTGGAGAAGTGAATCAGCTGGAACGATGCAGAGACACTCCCAGAATGCCAGGTGGGAGGGGGGGTCCCAAGGCCCTCGACACCCAGCACGGGAAGTGAGGGCCAGGGTCCCCGCGGAGTGAGGCCCAGGCTGCAGCTACTCCCGAGAGGAGCAGGAGGTGGGAGGGCAGTGGCACCCAGAAGACGTGGAGTGGGAGGGTTCTGGACGTGGGCTCCGGTGCCCGCAGCGTCATGTACGACTAATTCGAACAAATTAAAAGAAATGAGTTTCAGTGCCAAGCAGCAAGGGCTACATTCAAGGCATAAAGTGGACACTGTTTCACTCTGACTGACCTTCCACTGGTCTGCTGTGGTGAGTGGGCCGTGGGGGCTGACTGCATGGTCACTGGCGGATTAGACCATAGTTCTGGCCCCCTGCCAGGAGAGTCCTGCTGGTGGCTCACTGCAGCCGTGACGCTGTCTGCCTCCCGTGGGCTCCGGTTCTCCTGTTCTCCAAGCTGTGAGCACAGCCACCTTCTCCCCAGGGTGTCCCCATGCAGGCTCAGAGCCCTGGAGCCACCTGTCCTTGGGGCCTCTCCAGGGCACAAAGCCACTGTGCCCTGTGATGGTTCGGGAACCCCCAGCCTCCCCCAGGCCCAGCCCTGCCGGGCCCCCTGGCGTGGTCTCCCTCCCGGCTTCCTCCAAGGCCCACTTCTCCTGGGAAGGCAGGAGCAGCAGTGGCCCCACACACCATTTCGGGAGGCTCCGTGCTGGCCACAGGCCCAGCCCTTAGCCCCTGGAAGCCCTGCTTCTCTGCTCATTGCGCCCCCTTCCTGGCCAGGCTACCCCATCTTTCCCCACACTCACGGTCACGTCCCTGAAGAACAGACCAAGTTGCTTTGCAGAGAGATGTGACTCTGCCTAGTAGAAATATGTGCAGATCAAAACGCAGTCTCAGTTCTCCACAGAGCCCCACACGGTGGCCACTTCTGCCATCCCAGCTACTCCGGAGCTGACAGGAGGAGCACAAGTTCAAGGCCAGCCTGTGCAACTTGGTGTCACCCTGCCTCAAAACATAGCAATGGCTGGGGATGTGGCTCAGAAGTCACGCACCCTGGGTTCAGTCCCTAGCATGACACACCAAAAAAGTTTTAAATAAGATTTAGAAGCAAAATTTAAGAGGTCAACGCAGCAGATGAATCACACATGACTCAATGTGACATACAGATCCAACACGTGGTCTGACATGTGATCCACACGTGACCTGGTGGGGACCTGCCTCAGTTCCCCTGGCCATGCCACCCATGGGTGGGGGGTCCAGTGGTGCTGAGTGGGCTGCCCACTCCCTGGGCAAGTCCTAAACAGCAGGTACCCAGCCGCAGAGCACACCTGTCCCCGAGTGCCACAGGGCTTTTCCGTGAATCAAAGTTGAAAACAGGAAGCTTAATTTTTGCTTTGGATGGTTTCCAAACGTCCGCGTGAAGTCGTTTTTTTTGGTGATGGCCCGTGGGATAAAGTGGGGGGTTGGGAGAGCTGTTGTTCTCTGCTGCCGTGAAGCGCGGGCAGCAGGGGCCGCGAGGCTGGGCAGGGTGCTTCCCCGTCACGACACGGCCCCGAGGTTGCCAGGCCCAGGCCCAGCGTGGGCACCCAGAGCTGGAGGCTGCCCTCTGAGTGCTCACGGGGTAGGACTCGGCAGCTGGGCCTGGGGCCCGGTGGTCCTGTGGCACCTGGTGGCTGGGAGTCTGCTCTAGTGGCCTTGGTCCACGCTGTTCCTGGGAGACTCCTACAGGGGCTGCCTCCATCGGCCTGGCCGTCGGTCCTTGTGGGTGTGACTCAGGGGCCTTTCCTCCTGAGCCGTGGGACCTCTTGGCCTCCGGTGTCCCCCTCCTCTTCCTGAGTCTGGGGCTAGTTCTGGAAGCCTCTGGCAGAGCGGGCAGGGAAGCCGTGGGTGGGGCTGGCCTTCCTCTCGGGAAACCTGTACTCTGCCCTCCGTGCTGCCCCCCGGGGGACGGACGGGCGTCCCTGTTGCTCTCTGTTGTGACCACCTGCTGTCTCCCACCAACACTAGGTGTTTACCGCCAACGGCCCCACAGTGATCATGCCCACGTGGTTCTGCTCGCGAGCCTGGTTTGCCCACGTGGGCCCATTTGACGAGGGTGGGCAGGTGAGTGTGGACAGCGTGCCCTGGGGCGGGGGTGAGGAAGTGGCCATCACAAGCCTCCCGCGAGCAGCGTCACAGTCCCTGAAGTCTCCAGCCTCCGGCTCCAGTTGAGAGCCCTGCTGCCCATCATGGCCTCCCTCTGCCTGGACACCACCCCAGACAGAAGCCCCACCTGCCACCTTCTATCTGCTCTCACACCCACCCTCCATTCGGGTCGGTTCTGATCCGAACCCCCTTCCCCACTGTGTGCTGAGGGAGCATGGCTGGGCTCGGGGACCCTCAGCCACCTCTGCTCCAGGCTCTGGGTCTGAGGAAGCTGAGTGTCCCCAGGCCCCACGCCGCAGCAGCCTTGGCCGTCCCAGCCACCTGGCCTTGAGGCCGGGTCTCAGACCCTCGGCCCAGCGGGGGGTGTTCACGCCGCCCCCCCAGCTCCTAGCCTCCCTGGGCCACCGCCATGGCCCAGCCCCTGCTGCAGGCTGTCAGCAGTGGCCGGGCTGCCGGTCCTCTCCCCACAGGGCGTGCCGGAGGACCTGCTGTTCTTCTACCAGCACCTCAGGAAGGGGGGCAGGGTCCTCCGGGTGGACCAGACCCTGCTCCTGTACCGCTACCACCCCCAGGCGGCCACGCTCTCTGTGCTTGAGTAAGTAGATCACCTGGGGCTCCAGAAGCACCTCGTGAGGCCCAGGATGGGCACGGGCACCACTGGCCGGGTCAGTGAGGTGGACACAGGCGGCTGGCCTCAGGGCTCTTCCCGAAGATTCACCTGATAGGAAGGGAGTCCCCACAAAGTGGGGTGTGGGGCCCAGAGGGCCAGGTGGCCAGGACAACCCCTGCAGGAGCCTCGGGCCTCTCCAGGGCCTGGGGGGCCCAGAGAAGCCCAGTGCCCCTCTGCTCTACAGAGGTTCCCATGTGACCTTCTGAAGACCTGCTGGCCACCAGGCCTGAGTGGCCCAGTAAGGAGAGCCACGGGGCAAAGTCACAGGCTTCGGTCTCAAAGGGCTGGTTGTGGCTGTCCTGTGGACTCCCTCTGCCCCTGCCTGCCTTGGAAGCAGGGAACCACGGGCGGGGCTCGTGGCCTGGCTCCGTGGCTGCGCAGGTTTGGAGAGGGCTCCCCGCAGTTCCTAGGGAACTGTCACAAGGACACGTGCTCCTAGTGCCACCAGAGGCCCCATGTCCTAATGCCACCTGGAGAGGGTTTCCACACGAGGTTTTGACCAGACATAGACTTGGGTCTACAGCAACCACACAGAATCCATTAGCCATCACTGTGACTTCGGGAAAACCCAAAATATCTGGAAATTAGGCCGCCAAGGAAAAAATCAAAAGGAAATTAGAAAAACTAAAAGCAATGAGTCCTGCACACAGCGCCACCTTGGCCTCAAAGGCTGATTCACGAAGGAGGAAAGTGAGCTGCATACCCCTGAACAGGGAGTCACCGAGGGACTGCACAAAGCCGCCACCAAGTGGAGCAGGAACCCATAGCAGGTCAGCACAACCGACGGTCACCGTTGGAAATAGAACCAGCAAGACCACCTGTGGCCAGGTCTGAGCACTCACTGCTGAGCTGTGAGCAGCCCAGGCTATTTGGCCCGGCTACCACCTCAGCGTGCAGGGCGGGGCAGTCAGAGGACAGAGGCCAGGTGGGCACGTGGGTAGGACTAGCACCCCCGGGGACGTCAGGACCAGAGCTTCAGGAGGCAGGCCCGCCCCCGTCTGCCCAGACTGGTGGACAGTGAGGCTGTGCAGTGCACGGGGCTCAGACGGCACACGAAGCCCATACCTCCTCTGCACCGAGAAGGGAGCGGCCAGCGCAGGCACCTGGGGAGGGCTGGGAGCGACGGGGCCGGCAGATGTGCAGCCCACCACTCCTGGGAACCAGGCAGGTTCTGAACTTCATGTGGAAATGCACAGGACCCAGAATGGCTGACCAAGTCTCGAGAAGAACAGCCAGGGCTCCTGGCGAGGCTGCAGCAGTCAGCAAGGTGCAGGGCAAGCACAGGTGAGCCTGGCCACCACGAGGGGGCACCCAGCCCTCATGGGGGGGTCTGCTCACGGGGCGCGTGGTGTCCCTGTGAGGGAGGAACCCACCCCTGGAATCTCAGGCAATCGAGACAGTGCCGGAGGAGCTGCAGACCTTCGCCACAAGACGGGAGGGCGGCTGACTGTCTAAGAACGGGCAAGCTGGACACCGTCACAATCAAAGTCACTCTTGGTCACACAGACACGAGAAGCTGATGTGCCATCAGTGCACAGAGACCCTCAGCGCCACCCCCTAGGCGTGCGAGCCTGCAGAGCTACAGTCCCAGCTTCTTGGGAGGCACAGGTGGGACGGTCACTTGAGTCCAGAGGTTCAAGACCAGCCTGCGCAGCACAGTGAGTCACGTCTCTTCAAGATGGAAAAGTACAAGACACCACTAAGAAAATGAACGGGCACACTAAAGCTTGCAAGGAGACCCCCAGTCCGCGTACCCAGCAGAGAACCCCAGCCAAGTATGCGGTAGACATGGCAGCCCACAGGCACAATCCGAGTGGTCACGGCCTCAGACCACATGCACTGCTGGGTGGGCTGTGGACAGGCTGGAGTTGGCACCTGCCACCCCAAGCTTTGGCCAGGACACTCAGCAGTAAGGAGGCGTGTCCTCTTTGGAGAGCTGCTGGATGCTATATAACTGACCACAGTGGCGCCTTCCTGTGGTGGGCCCACTTGGAGATGTGGACACTCCCCAGCACATTGCTGTCAACACGTGAACTGGGCTGTGGCTGGGGGTGGAGTGCCTGCCTCACTTACCAGGCCCGGGGGTCCCTCACTGCAAAGAAAAAAAAGCCAAGACTTTGGGACTGTCCCTCCGTGTGCCTTTGGGAGGATGGCAGGGTCTGCTGAGATGGTGTGCTGCTTAGCAACAAACAGGCGGTGACCGGGTGGCTGGGGAGACGCTGGGCACCGCAGACCTCCTGGGCCTACCCACCCTCCGGCAAAAAAAAGGGGCAGGGCTGCAGTCCCTCTCGGTGGCTGGGGAACGTGCACACGTGTTGCTCAAAAACCACACGCTGTCCACCCGAGAGCAGCTGCTGCAGCAGAGAGCCCTCCTGTCCACACAGGAGCCAATGAGTGGAGAACGTGCCTTCCACAGCGCATGGGGGTAGCCAGGGCGGTTCTGAGCACTCCCGTGTGACCACTCGGTCACACACGGCCCACAGGTGGTGCTGCCTTGGAGGTGGGTCTGTGAGGCCCCACACGCCCGGCCACAGGTGCCATCAGGCGGGCTGCCCAGGCCTCCTCCTGTGCCCATGGCAAGGCCTTTGTGTGCAAGATTTGGTTTTTGCCACGTAAGGCTTGGCCACCCACAACACAAAATAAGTGACCTAATGCAGGTTTCTGTGTGGGATTAAAGTCTTTGAGTGTGAGCAGCAGCTCCTGGGGCACGGGTTTAATTATTACCTGGGCTTGCTGAAGAGTCGGCTCCGCAAAGCTTCCTGGGCCCCCCCTGCACCATACTAGGAACGGTCTCGACAGACGCCAATCGGCATCCGTGACCAGCGGGAGTCGTGGTCAGCAGTAAAATGGCCAGTGCTGCCCTGAGCCGATGCGCATCCTCGTGGGTCTCTCCTGTGGGCCCCGGCACTGAGACGGGCCGTCCTCATCATGGTGCCTGGGAGCTAGCTCAGGCCTGCCCCAGGCCCTCCTCCATCACGTGATGCTGGGCATGGACCTGCCCGACTGCTTCTTTGTATTATGCTAGAGTCAGGTATTATGCTACTGCTGCATACACAGACCAGGGAAGACCAAGGCCTGGGGTCCTGTCACCTGTGTCCTCTGTGGGGGCTCACCTATGCTTGCTGGTGCAGATGGTGCTGACAGGTCACCCCCTCCCGAGGCGGCTGCCGAGAGTGAGCCGTGTCTTCCTGGAACGGCAGAGGCGGCACAGCCTCCTCACCTTTGTCACCTGCCAGTCACCACGTGCCTGGTAGCCTCGAGCCAGGCAGTCACAGGCCCTCTGGCTCCCATCTTCTGGTGGGTGTTAAGAGGCGAGGCACATGTCGCCCTTGACGTGCGTGAACGTCGGGGTGTGTGTTCCGCAAAGGCTGAGAGAAGGCCGAGGAGGCCACAGGGAGCCAGGCCACAGAGCACGCGGCCAAGGAGGGCAGGAGCCCAGAGCAGATGAGGAGCAGCCCAGGATCTGACGGGGGTGAGAGCCGACAGCAGGGAAGTGGCCCGAGGGCCAGGACAGGGCGTGACCGCAGACAGCTGTCCTGAGGTGGCCCTGGGTGCCAGTGTGGTGTGTGGCCCCAAGGTGCTCGGGGACCGGGGGGTGGGGAGACGTGGCTGAGGTGCAGCCTCTGCCTGGCGGCCCGGTCTGCGCGTCCAGGGAGGGACTGTGGTTCAGGCGGGGAAACCCCAGATTCCTGCTCTCTGGGCGAGTGACCCAAGGCACAGATAGCTCCCAGGTGTGGCCACGGCTTCCTTCTCACAGCGGCTCTCTGGGAATGGGCTCAGGTCAGGGGTCCACTGTCCTGAAGTTCCTGCAGCCACCCCGGGGTGGGCTGAGCTACCCAGAGGCCAGGCCGGCCTGGGTGGCCCCCGGCTTCCATCG